TCATCGGATATTTTTCCGCGTTTATTTGATACCAATTTCGGCAACTCTCGCATTCAACCTCCTTTGATCTAAATGTGACTTTCCTGCTGCAACATGGGCAGAAGCCGTTTTTGTCTTTAATTTGCTGTATCTCCGTTCCCACCGGCATTTCTTGTCTTAGATCAAACTCGTACTCTTTCAGCCATAAGTTTCCCAAAATTGCAGCGAGGGACGCGCCCATTGCTAAACCATCAACTTGTACATACCATGAATCCTTACTAAGGAAATATACTTTGCTGACTTCCATATTCAAAAGCCTTTTCATGGTTGCTCATTGAATTTCAGGAGGAGACTCCTGGCTGTACAGCTTCTGTAAAGCAATTTCAATTGCCTACTTCAGGGGAACGTTTGTGTGCAAATTTTTCACATAAGGAGATATTATGGTTTCATCCGGATCTAGAGCAATGTTTTCAATTGTTTCTCTGGCCTCTTTAGTATTGGTTTCTATATTGGCTCCACCGATGTAGCCAAAAAAGTTTGCAAGCATTTTGTTAAGATTCTCCTACAAACTGCCTGGAAGTGATAGTACGGGTCATAGGGGTGTCTCAGCCTTGCGTACCTTAGCTAAACCGTACAAACGAGCTCATTATGCAAAAACCAAACCCCTTATCAAAAGGCACAGCCAGCAACCCATTATCGTTGAGATACTTCCTCGTTTTTTCAACGGCTTTGTCTCTTGGGGCTTGCCTTACATTTTTTGCATATGCCTTTGCCGCGGCTTCTATTTCACATAAAGTTTCACCAGATGTTTTTTGTTTTTCCAACTGTCAGAGGAAAATGTCGATATCCGGCAAAAAATGTGTTTCGTTAAATTTGTCTCTAATGGGATGCTTCGGGCCCATTGATAGCACTTCATATACCCATCCAGGCAGTTCCATGTTATCAAGTACCTTGACTGATTGCTCATTTCTCACCCCAAGAGGTTTATCTTGTCTCTCGGACAGTTTTTCTAACTGAAAATTTAGTCCCAAATTATTTTTGATTTTTCATTTAAAACCAAATTTACTTGCCTATCAAAGAAGGCAGAGTTCCTCTGATTATCCGGTTTCTCAATATTAAAGTGCAATTTAGGTGTAGTTTATTCGCTGCCTGTAACACAATCTGCCAGTAACACAAGCTCTGGGTCACCACTCACAGTTCTCACAATATCATCAACTTATTTTAAGAAAAGTTTAACTCCCACTTCAGATTGATCATTTTAACGTTGCTCTCTGCATGCCTTGCAACACAAGACTGTATCAAAAATGATTGCACATTCGGATTACACTGTTGATACCAATTCAAGCAAGCTTTGACATTGAGGGCAAACATCATTTTGGTCTTTTATTGGATTACTTATTTGTAGTACCACCCTTTTTAACACTGGTTCGTACTTTTTTAGCCACAAATTGGCTAAAATGACAGCAAGGGAAGCTTGCATAGCTAGACCGTCTTTTTGTATATACCACAGATTATTGCATTTAAAGTGTAATTTGCCTACTCCCATTCAGATAACTTTCTAATTCAGATAACTTTCTCTCAGTCGGTGTGCAAAGTCCGTTTAAATTATTGTAGATAATTGTTTTGCTTTGTGCCTCGTGAGTTTATTACTTTTGGCCTGCAAAACAATGACTAATTTAGTTCTGGCCAGTGTTTAGCTCAGAAAAAATTAACAGGAAGAATGAGTTTGGAAAAATGTGTGAGAATGGGAGGAATAAGGCTTGCTGCTTCGGATGACAAAATTGATCCTTTTTCAACTGATAACTATCAAAAAAATGTTGTCTAAGCACCCTCAGCGAGCCAAATTTGCAGCTCCAAATCCAGAAAAGTTGGACAGTTTATTCGTAACCGATCTTGACCTATACAAAGCGATAATGTCCTTTCCGAACGGATCAGCAGCAGGTCCTTATGAAATAGTTCCTCAAATTTTTAAAGATCTTGTTAGTAAGTCGAATGGCAGTGCAGGACTTAATTTTCTGAAATCGCTTAATAAGCTGATAAACCTCTTTGGAGATTGCAAAATACCCGAACCCCTAAGACCTTTCTTTTTTGGCGCAAAGCTTCTCGCCCTCATAAAGATAGACGGAGGGTTGAGACCGATTGCCATAGGCAACACGCTGAGGCGTATCGCGTCTAAATGCGCTGGAAGCAAGGCCCTCTCCGAGCGACAAAATTTTTTCGGAAACATACAGGTAGGATGCGGTACCAAACGAGGAGCAGAAATAGCTGCGCACTCGTTTCGAAACCTAATTGAACGGGGAAACGGACTTTATCCTCCACGGTCATTATCCTCCAGGCGATATCCTCCACCATTATCCTCCATTTCTCAAACAGGGACTTTTTCCTCTCATTTTTATCCCCCAATTTTATGAATTTGGATGTTTTCCTCCAATTAGTAAATTCAGTCAAATTATTAGATTATATCCAATATTTGATGAGATTATATCCAATATTTGATCATTTCAGACAATAAATGGAACTTCCTGATCATTCCGCGTACGGGCAGCCCAATTATATGAAACAAGTTGACTTGGGAACATCTGAAGACGAGCTTTCCTGCAATGAAACAGTTTACTTTGAGGAATTTGAGGGTGAACCTAGAAGTTCCACGCCAATAATTGTTGATAGTGACGTTGAAGTACCCGAAACTCCAAGTACCATTCAACCCGACGAAGAGAATGACGTTTTTATCGACCTTCCTAGTCAAGCTAAGAAAGGGGGCAATTTGGTAGCAGAAGTAACTGGATATGTCTATTCGCATAAGAGGTCTAATATTTGAACATGCACGGTTCGCACTAAGGAGGTTCGCTGCTACGCCGCCATTAAGAAGGTCGATGGGAAGTATCAAAAATTAGGCCACCATAAATGCGAGGCTAGGCCTGGTATAGTTAAGAAAAAGAGAATTGCTTTTGAGTCTAAGAAGCTAGCAAAGTCGCAGCCTTTCAAATCAACGAATGCAATAATTGACGATGTTCTTGTTGATTTAGCCGATGAGACACCATCTGGAGCACTTGCTAAGAAAGACTCTATCAGGCGATGTGTTAGTCGAGTTCACCAAGAAAACCGCCCGAAACATCCTTTTGATCTGACGTTTAAATTAGAAATTGACCACGTCCCGAGTAATTTTTTGCGTGGTGATATTCGTTCAGGCGATCGCCGACATCTCCTATTTGCAACAGAAAATCAAAAAAGTCACTTAAAGATGCGTACTCTTCTGGTGAAACGATCCGCACGTTCCTCCGGAAGGTATTGTCTCTACCGTTGCTTCCCAGTGAATTGATACGTCGGGCATTTAAACTTTTGAATCAAGAGGCAAAGACCTTCAACGACAATCGTCTCGTAACGTTCATGGAGTACGTCCGAAAGCAGTGGAATGACTCGAAAATGTTTCCACCTGAGACCTGGTGCCAGTTCATGAAAGGTACTCGCACAAACAATGATCTTGAATCATGGCACCACCGCATCAAGCGCGCCATGAATCCGAATGTAAATTTTTATTTTCTCGTGCAGGTACTTTTCAATGAGGCACAGTTGGTTGAAATTAATTTGCGGATCCTGTCTGTACAGGAGAGCCGAAAAGGCTATGTGGAGAAGCAAAAGCTTTTTTTCGAGGTTTGGAATGCTTTCATTGAAGGCAACATCAGTGCCGGAACCATGCATGGTGGGTGCTCACGGCTTGTTGGATGTCCGAGTAATTTGTAATTTTGCTGTTTATTATTGCCCTCATTCTTCTGTTTTAACGATACTTTCTTCTAATACATTCCAATTTGATAATATATTCTATCCCTTAATCTCATTATTTTAGACATTTTAGTACCAGATTCTGATCACTCACCTCACAAAAGCCTTTACAACCTATTTTCAAAAAAATATTAGTTAAAAAGTTACCCTCAGTGGTCTGAAACTATGATTTTTAGATTCAGCGTCTTTATCCTCCAACATTTGGCGGATAAAGTCCCTCGGAGGACTTTATCCGCCATGGAGGATATCGCCTGGAGGATAATTACCGTGGAGGATAAAGTCCTGTACCCATTGAACGCAGAGACAATCCAAAATCCACTGTTTTTTTTTACAGTGGATTTTTGATTGTCTCTGCGTTCCTGTACTCTAAATGAGAAGAGAGAGAAGGTGAACTCAGCAAGGTGATCCTGAAGACCCACCCCTTTTTGCGGAAACAATTCATTCACTAGTCAAACAGTTGCAGTCGAAAATTAACATCTGGTATTTAGATGGAAATTTAGCCGACGACTATAAGGTAGTACTCCGGGACCTTACAAACATTCTGAAATTGCAACAAATTTACGGCCTGAGCTTGAACACTGAGAAGTGCGAACTTTGTTTTTTGGGACCGACTACCAGTACACAGTATAATTCAATTTTAACACAATTTCGAAAAAAATGCCCCAAAATAAAAAAAAAACAAAAGAAGAACTCTCAAAAAACTAGGAGCTTGAAAAAATCTCGCATGTCATTGACAAACTAGACTCCCATTATGGTTTTTACAGAACAAGCATATGCACTGAGGAACCCAGAACAGGCAGCTTTTTAAAACAGAGAATCTTCCTGGCAATACAGATTGCGAACGCCGCTTGCGTACTCGGAACAATAAATGACAAAATAACTTTCGACGAAATTTTTTATTTGTAACACTTGTATATTATATTTTCTCGTGTCGAGTTGCGTGTTCTTCTTGAAGAAACGTAACCCGTATCGATTTCAATTGAAAAGGACTTCAACACTTGTCATCTTCTTTTACCATTATCACTTCCATATCTAGAAAATTCCAAGGGTTTTGACTGGAGTACGTGATGAAGGGACTCCTGACTGTAACCTCGGTTACTATGATACTTTTGTCCGTCAAAACTGTCCTAAGTGTTTCTTGAAAAAACGTTTTGGAGTGTGAAAACTTGAATCTCCATTTCATTTTCTCCACCTGTATGCTTAAAAAAACTGATTCTTTTCTCTAAGCAATTCTTTTGTTTTAGAAATTGGATGTCTCTTGTGGATGTGCTAACCAGCTACTGTGAAGGAGTAGTAAGTACTGTTACGAGATGGTTGATCGATATTAATTTTCTCTAAGATTATCGACTTGTTATGCCCAAAGTTCATCACAGTTGTGTTAGCTCAAAGGTGGCAGCTCTGTAAAAGGGATGCAGCACCTGCATCAATCACCTTGGGTCTTTCTCATTATAGTTCTCCAGCTAATTATAGCCCCCATAATTGTAAAATCACAGTGTAGGAGGTCTGATATATTTTTTGAAATTATGCTAGAGGGGGCTATGAGGGGAAAGCCAGTTTATCTTTACTGATTTATCTTTTTTTTTTAAATTTTAAAATTATTACGGTATGTTTATTATTGTTTAGATTATTGGCTGCTCAGATGAAATTGAGACCCTTTCTGTGTTTGAATCATTTCGACGCTTTTCACAGCGCTGGTTAGTGAGTGTTTTTGTGTAACCATATAAAAAGCAATTTATAATCTCTGGATCACTGCATTAGTTGAACTTCTGTTTAGGATACCTGATCCGCATTGCTACCTGGGAAATAATGGTGTTATTACAAACTTCGAAGAAGGTTTACAATTCTTAGTTTCTGGTACGTGTTGTTTGTACAGAAAATTTTATTTAGCCATGTGATATTCAGAAAACCTTTAAACTTTGTGTAGAAGTTCTGGCGTGGACTGAAACTGAGTTTTTCGATACAATCAAAAAAATTCGCGAAGCAAGTGATGAAACTGATGTGCCTCAAATTAAATGCCTGGTAGGTTTGACTCTTTCCATCTTAGCCCCCAGCAAAAGATGAATCATCCGCGTTCATGTTTTAACTAACCACTAATGAGCTATACAAAACCTGAATGACAGCCGTTCACAGATTACCATGACTGTAGCCGTGTATTTTGGGCGTGCTCCATGCAGTAACTTATGTGCAGCTATGAGGCATTCAATCCCATTTCTTCCAGAAACTATATGGAAGAGGCGTAGCTTAAAATTCCCTGCATACCTTAATAGTGAACTAACTGATTATGCAAGTTTTAAGTCGTGATACAGCCCATGAGTTGAGTGGAAGCAAACTTCAGGCAAAAATCGATCAGGTTCGAATTGATGGCGCTTACTCTTTCAGTCTTCACTCTTAATATTTTAGCTACCCGTGTCAAAAATTCATTTGATACCGAGTTATACAGAAATGTTTGAACAAATTAGTTTTTTTTTCGGATTTATACGTCACAATGTATGAGGTTCTCAGTCGTCATCATTTTCATGATTTTTAATCCTTATCTTCATGTAGTTTTTCTTTCAGTATTCTACTCATTGTAGAGGCTCGTAGTGTTGTTCAAAAGAGTCCCCACAAAATTACAATGTAGTCAACGTAAAAACTGCTTGAGTGTCACTGGGACCGGTCGCGCTGGTATAGATAAGTGTTATATAGCGTGTCTTGCTATGATAATTAATGATTAGAAATGAGGAATTGTGTTTGAGAGTAATATAGGGATGCGCGGTCTAGGCTCTATATCTTCGACTCAGGGATGTGCTTGGTGATGTCTACCTCCTTCTCAGCTGAGTCTAAGCTGTTTGATTTATAAGAGTGAGGATTAATCTTTTAATTACTATTTTTGAGCTGTTTTACTGTAATGGCTCTCTCTCAATTAATGATTCAATTACTTTCTCATTGATTGTTTGCATTAAGTAAATATGAGTTTAACACTTTGTCATTGACATATAATGGCATTGATATTTAAGTCTAATTCGCACCAATTATGGTAATTAAAAATGAGTAACTCAACATAGGCGTGAAGCGCTATGTGACACTTACACACCTGTTGATTGTTCCCTGGCGGCTAATAACCAAGGGAGAAC